ACCCATTTGAAAAGCATATTGATTTGTCTCATGACCTAGAAAAGGAGCAGAGACCCCCCAAGTGGGTTACCTGCTTCTGTGGTGCTAGCCACGGGGGCAGTTTTTCTTGGCGCTCTTAAATTTAGCAGGAAGAGGTTGATTATTATATCATTCTAATCTTATTCTAATTAGAGTGACTTAATATTCCCAGTTTAAGTCACTTAAATCAGCAGTGACAGAGTTAGAGGGTATTGCTGAGGGACCAGAGAGGAGGTGAGAGGAACCGGAGAAAGGAAGTGAAGGCAGGAAGGGAATTATGTGCTGATTCATTAAAGAGCGAACTTGAATCGAATGGCTTTTTGACTCCCCAGTCTGTTCCTTGTCTGCTGGTGAAGGACAAACACATCTGCCCTCCTGGAACCTATGTTCCAGGCAGCAGGGAGGAGACTACAGCATCTACCATGTGCTCTGTTCTGGGTGGCAGTAAATCCAAGGAAAACTGCAGTGAGCAGGAATCAGAAATAGCCATTGTTTAATAGCTGGAATGATGTTGCTTTGGGAACTGGAGAGAGATCAAGTTGGAACAATTATAAATTAAACAGAACAAAGCCTGTAAATATTCATCTTGATACAGTGATGGAACCTAGGCGTGGTTACTGGGTCATTTTAGTTCTACTTCCACTTGGAGTCAGTTTTCCCCTAACTGTTGGCAATGTTGGATTTTCATGCTTGCATTATATAGCTGTAGCTGTCATGAAAATGTTCATGTTACTTGACCCCATAATGCAGTAATTCCTAAGTCCTTTAGATTTAATGCATTATGCTCTGTATTTCCTTCTACCCCCTGTAGGGAAAAGGGGCCAGTCAAAGAAACACACCCTGAGCAGAGCCAAAGAAACACACTTTGGCCCTGCAACCAGAACTAAAGAAATGCACCCTGACCCTGAAACCAGTGCCAAAAGAACACACGTTTTCCCTGGAATCAGAGTCAGTGAAAGAAATGCATCCTAGCCCTAAAATTGGAGCCAAAAGGCTAAAAAGGACCAGAGAAAGAAACACACTTTGACCTTGAAACCAGAGCCGAATCTGACCCTAATCCTGTGCAGAAAACTAACCAATCCTTGAGCAGAGCTCTAGCCAATCTGAGCTCAGCACTAAAATCTGACCAATCCCCACCCTGGAAGCCCTATATAAACCCTGTGTTTGTTCAGCTTGTGGCTGTTCGTGCTACCCGGCTGTCCTCTGCCACAGGGCAGCCACCTTCCTGGATTCTTCCTTCTAGTAAACCCCTTCAATGAGCTTTGGGTGAAGATCTTCTTTTGCAGCAGCGACGGAGCATAGGTGACCCTGGGCAGAGCAGAGCAGAGAGAGCAGGGCTGTAACACTTGCCGGGAAACCTTCCCTTGGCAGAGCGGCTGAGTTGCCTGCTCTCTGCTCTCCTGGAGCAGAGCTGAACTCTAACAACTTCGCAGGAGAAACCTCCTGCCCAGCAAAACTGCTACACTGGGTTAACATCCCCAGCTGGAAGACCCTGTCCTGCAGGAGCAGAGCCTATACACTGGGGAAGCCTTTCCCTGAGGTAAGGTTGTAAGCTGCTAAGCTTACTGCAACCTGTGGTGGTCCTTGGCTCCCGAGCTCCAGGATACCTTTCCACCTGAGCTGTGTAACACTCAGTATCCTTGACTCCCGAGCTCCAGGATACCTTTCTACCTTAGCTGTGTAACACTCAGTATTCTGTGACTCCCGAGTGCCAGAATACCTGACCCATCCCGATCTGCCCTAGTCTGTCTAAAGATATAATTTATTTTTGAAGATATTTATTTATTTTTATTTTATGTGTATGAGTGTTTTGCCTGCATGTCTGTCTGTGCACCCATGAAGGCCAAAAGAGGGTGCCAAATCTCCTGGAACTGGAGCTACAGAAGGTTGTAGCCTGCTGTGTGGGTGCTGGGAATCAAACCTGTATCCTCTGGAAGCCAGTGCTCTTAACCTCTGAGCAGTCTCTCCGGCCCCTAAAGTTATTAATTTGAAGTTTCAAGACAATACTTCAAGGAACCAAACAAAAATGGCATGTCCTTGCACAACTCGACCTGATGAGGGGGATGTGTGTGAATAAAGAAATAACAGATACACAGACAGAAATCTTGGAGTGAACTGGACTCCCTGCTGGAAAAACTGCCCCAGGGAAACTCAGTGTGTCTATTGTACAGCTTTGAACAGGGAGGCAGGGCTATTGCAAACAAGCAGGAGTCTGGGTTTATTGTACACTGCTGGATTATGGAGATAGATTTGGCTAGTCTTGTAGAAGCTGTCTCTAAAGGAGAGCAGTGTTCTGCCCATAAACATGGTTGGGGGACCTTTGATGGCCATCAACAGTTGCACTCACACCCCAAGCAAAGACCTTTGTATTTTGCTGAGCCTTGCCCCGGCACAGAAGGTTTGACCATTTTCCTATGGATGTGAGGCTTTGTGGTCCTTGGCATGGTTGTGCCTATGTCAACAGCACACATTTATTCAGGACTTCACTCACTATTCTGCTTCCTGCAAGAAAATTTGAAGATTACAGGACAACTTGTAGCAACTGGTTCTCTCCTACCATGCAAAGAACTGAACTGAGGTCATCATGGTTGGCGGTGAGTGCTTTTACCCACTGAGCCATCGTGATGCCCTGAAATGAGTTATAATAAAGCAAATTTAAAAATCTCAGTAAGACACAGCAGTGTCTGACTCTCTACACAGCATTGCCTTGACAGCCTCAAATGCAGACGACAGCCCAGGCTCAAGCACCAGTTGTAGCTGGGAATATTGCAGAGTTCCATCAGTAGGGAAGGAGAGAGAGGCTGAGTGACTGTGTGCTGACCTAAAGCACCTCTCCCTTCACTTCATCACCGGGCAGCTTAGTCTTTCCAGAGTCTGGCACCAGAGAACCCAACAGCTTTGATGTCATTGAATTCTGGGCTCTCAACAGCCTACCAGCGATTGAGTGTGGCCCATGGTAGAGTGTTGCTGGCTGAGGTTGTCCCATGCACTGCACACCTGATATTATGCACCAGTGCTAGCAAAGTTCCCTCCAACAAGGAAAAAAATAAAAACAAGAAAAAAGTAGTAAGAGCTTTCAACATCTCTCCCATGAGAAGTAGTATGGCTCTCCCTAAAAGACCTGTGTTTACTTGCATGAGGATTTAGTCTCCATGATCAAAAAAGGAAAGTGGTATCTATCTATCTATCTATCTATCTATCTATCTATCTATCTATCTATCTCAATGTATTGATGGAAAGATTCAGTGGGCAAAACACCTGCTGGAGAGGCATGAAGGACCTGGGTTCAGATCCCCAGCATCCATGTAGAAGCTGAGTGTGACACTTGGGTAGTAGAGACAGGGGCTCCCTGCCAGTCAGCCTAGCCAAAATGGCAAGCTCCAGGTTCAATGAGGAATCCCCCCCCACACACAAAGCATTAGGGGTGGGGTAGGAAGCCTGACATTTACTTCTGGCCTCCATACTCATCAATGGGTGAGTGTACCTACTCACACATGTGCACTATACACACTACGCACACACACATACATACCACTGAAAAATAGCAAGCTTATTATGATACCATGCAACTAGAAGTGACCTAAATATCCTATTGAGTGGAAATGATTAATTAGTTATGATTTGTCTAAACAGTATTACACAGACATTAAGCAGATAAGTAGGTTCTGTGTCACAATGAGAATCGAAGTACTACTTACAATGCTGTTGTGAATGAAAACATATATCACATCCATATGACCCATGTAAAAGCATTTTGGAAATATGGGGCCTGGGCTACAGTCCTGGAATCAAGGTCACCAGCAGGCTGAGGCCAGAGGATTGTGGGTCTGGGACCAGCCTGAGAAACTTAGTGAGATTCTCCCTTGAATAAAAACCAAACTAAAATCATATATCGGGGTTGGGTTGCGGAGATGGCTCAATGGTAAAATGCTTGTCATAAATGCATGAGGACCTGAAATTTGATCTCCAAGACTCATGAAAAAAGCAAAGCACACACACACACACACTCAGAGAGATCGATCATGTGTGCTATGATGTTCTAAAATTGAAAGCTGAGAAAAGATGAGTCTGTGTGCCTTGTTGGCTTAGTGCCTTGACAACCATTTGTTAGTGTGTGACATGGTCACCATGCAGCCTGTGTTTAGGCAATGTGATTCATGGCTCAACTGGTTCTGCTTGGGCTCATTCTTCCTACAGCAGCTTGGTCAGTGGCAAGCTTGGCCAAGTTATGCTACTCACACATCTAGTGCTGGCTGTGCCCAGTCGGCTGAGCCTCTTTTGAGGTTGATCCACAGATATCTTTGAACAGGTCTGCAACAGTATTCAGTGTTTTGAAATAAAATTATAACTTTAAAGTCATAGGGGAGTTGATATTGATAAATTAATAGATATCGATAAACTGCTTTGTTTGCAGGTTGGTTTTTTTTGGAGGGGGAGGGATGGTTTGAGATAGGGCTTCTCTGTGTATCCTTGGCTGTCCTGGAGCTAGCTTCTGTAGACCAGGTTGGCCTTGAACTCATAGAGATTCACCTGCATCTGCCTCCTGAGTACTGGGATTAAAGGTGTGCGCCACCACCACCCAGTGTATTTTAATAGTAATCTCCAAAGGCTTAATCAACCAGAGAATGTCAAAGGCAGAAAATGGAAAGAGATGTCTGGGCCATTGGAAGCAAGCTGCTTTCACGTGATGCATCCACTAAGATGGCTGGCCCCAGGGCTAGTGTGAGAGGCTGCCAGAAGCAAAGGGAAGGAGAGCATTTCCTCAGAATTAGGACTCAACCGTGGGGAGGGATCAGAGTAGTCTGGTAAATGCCACATGTCTATCAGAGGATATGGAGGCCCACAGAAGGATGGGGTCTTGGATATCTTTCTTTCCGAGGAGTTTGCTAATGGTGAGTGGCCTTAATCTGACTGCATCATTTGAGGAGACTGATAGGTCTTACACTTGTGAGAATGGCTGATGCAGGATAAACTCTGTGCAGGTTGTGGCCCGGGAACTGCTGGCCCAGTACAACAAGAAGCATAAGAAGAATCCAGTCTTGGGGCTGATCCAGGGCTGGACTGCAACTGCTGGTGACAAGCTGAGAACCAGGTACACACTGCCCGAGAGGGCATCCTTACTTCCTTACGGGTTTACTCTGAGCCTGTTTAGGGCCTTGACGTGGGCCATCTTGCCCTTGCTTGACAAATTTAGTATCTGACGTTGCAAACGCAGTAGGGAATATGTAAAATCAGTGCTATGTGCCTACCACCCAACATAAGACCTAAAATGTTTCTGCCTCTACCCTTTCTCCCACGTTCCTTCATTAGTTATGCTGTGAGTTTAAAATCTTAAAACTTCATTCAACTCTCAGTCTTTGATTGATATTTAGGTTCTTCAATATTTTGACATTTTGTACAAATTGGCAAAACACTGTGCTTGTTTTTTTCTGATGAATTAGGGAAGGTGTTTTTTTGTTTGTTTGTTTGCTTGCTTGTTTGCTAGCTTATTTACTTGCTTTTCTGGGAAACATGGGGAGAGTCTTTGTGGGACTTTTCAACTTAGAGCAAAATGTAGAGTCTACAAAGTCACAGACATCCATAGAGTGAGTCCACCACCTCAGATGCAACTGAAGCTAACTCCATGCAATAAACTGACCTGTCCAGCACTCATGATGTTCTCTGGTGTTTAAAAAAATGAAGGGATATTGATCTCAGTCTTCTAAACTGATTTCATGGCTCATTGCTAACTTATAACCTGTTGTTTGAAAAACACTCCTCTAGGATATGTTACCCAAGAATGGAATTGTTCTGTGGTGGTGTGTGCCAATGTTAACTTTACTAGACCGTTCCAAATAGTTTTCATGCTACAACTGCTACCACCAGCTTGCATGAGTCTTCAGATTTGGCCTTCTCTGGACCACATTGTTATCTACAGTGTTCACATTTGAGAACCATGTTTTCAAGTAAAAATTTCACAACAACAAAAATCACATCATGTTTTGAGTAAGTTTGCGATTTTATATCAGGCTCACAAACATCTTAACTCTAGATCCAGAGAATCTGACACCCTCTTTTGCCCTTGTTGGGCACTGCACTCTCATGTGTATACACACACATAGACACACACACATACACATAATTAAAAATAAGAAAAATCTTTAAATACTATTAATAATATGAGTGTGCTGAAGGTCACTAAACTCTATGTGTAAAGTAAATCAGCAAATGTTGCTTATAGCACAAGTTGTCTTCTTACCTCTAGTACATAGACACATTCGCACACACATATGTATACATATGTAGACACAGGTACACATGTGCAAAGACACACACATAAACACATGCACACATGTGTACACATGCACACAATAGACACACATGCATACAGGCATATACTCATGAACAGGTGTACACACACACAAATAATAATAAGTATGATAAAATTTAAGAAAAGGATGCTGTTTTTGAGAGATACAATTCCCTTAAAATCTCCCTTTATTATTTTAGTGCACATTGGTTACTACCACATTATAAAAATTATCTATTTTTTGCATCTGTGGAAATTATGTGACATTTCTCCTTTATTCTCTTTATTTGATATTCCTTTGTAAAATGTCTTACATTTATTTAGTGTGTGTGTGTGTGTGTGTGTGTGTGTGTGTGTGTGTGTGTGAACATGCATGCCCAGAACACGTGTGGAGGTCAGAGGACAACTTGCAGGAGTCAGTTCTTGATGTCCGCCTATGACGTCTGGTAGCAGGTGCTTTTACCCACTGAACCATCTGTTGCTTCCCATTTTTACACTTCTTCGATTTAGACGTGTGTCATAGTTTTATTGTTGAAGTGTTTGGGGAGACCTGTTTATTTGGTTGGAAGAAGTCAGTAAGTGATTTTAAATGATCTGGGCTTAGGAGAATATTTAACCCTTGATTTACCCCAATGGTTTTAGGACTATTAAAGCTTTTTCTTCATGTGTCACCTTTGGTAAGTTCCATCATCAGCTATGTCCTCTCTGTCATTCCATGCTTGTCTATTGTGGTGTCTCTTTACTTTATTGCTGTTTTGTAGTGGGAACATCATGGAGTGTATGTCACAAATATGGACAGTATAGATCAGTGTTCAGTTTGGACTCTTGGTGAAATCACAGGACATGGTACCACCATGTGTGGAACAGGCCATCACTGATGGAATGTGGCACACCTTGTAATATTAAATATTTTAACAACTCTCTTTTACATTATATGCTAAAATAATGATAAACTGAGGAACAGTAAATACATAAAAGTCTAACATAGCTATTATTGCATAGCACTAAATCTTATACCTATTTGTTGATATACTTTTATAGGACTTCGCTGTGTTTTTATATGACTGTCAGGCAGCACAGTAAAGCTCTGCATAAACACACAGGTCCTGTGCTATTTTTTCCTTTCTTTCTTTTTTATTTTAAGATAGGGTTTCCTCTGTGCAGCTCTGGTTGTCCTGGAACATGCTCTGTAGACCAGGCTGGCCTTAAACTGAGAGAGTCACCTGCCTCTGCCTCCTGAGTGCTGGGATTAAAGTCATACACCACCATACCTGGCTCTTATGTTGTGATTTTATAATGGCCATGGCACCAATGGCAATGGTAAGTTTTCAGCTCCATTGTGAGCTTGTGGGATCGTTACCATATAGTCAGAACATCATGAACTAGAATTCACTGATGACATCACTCATTAATCATCTCGTTCCTGTGCATTTTAAAGTAAACTGCAGACATTAGCACACTTTGAAATAGCATTGTTTATTCAAGTTCAACCTGTGGGGATAATTCCCTTTGCTCTCATGTAGAAGTTTCTTATGATACCCCTCACATGTTTTAAATGTACACTTGTTGAGTTTTGGCAAATGCATACACATTATTCTGATATTTTTCCACCAAAGACTTGAGTTTCCCATTCTAGGATTTCATATAAATGGAACAAACCATCTATACTCTTTTGTAGCTGCCTCAATAATTCAATATAATGCTTTCTGAGATTTACTCATGGTGTCATATGTATTACTTCTTCCCTTTTTATTACTGAGTGGTATTTTATGGATATACTATGATTTGTTTTCCATTCTCTTGTAATGGATAGACACCTGGGATGTGTCTTGTTTTTCACTCAAATGAGAGGGCCAGCTATGAATATTCTTATATAAGTCTTTTTATGAACGTTGCTCTTGGTTTCTCTTGGGCATGTAGGAGACATGGAATTGCTGGTCATGGAGCATGTGCTTATTTTATGAGAAACCAAGAGAGATTTCTAGAGTGGGTTTGACCACTTGACATTTTCATGAGTAGGTGTAAGAATTCTGGCTTCTCTGTGTCCTTGGCAACATTTGACACAATATATTTAATTCTGGACAGACTGCTGGATGTAGTGTGCTGTTTCGCTCCAGTTCTTCTTTGCATTTCTCTAATGACCAATGATACACATTTGCATTCAATCTAGTTTTACTCCTGTAGTCATTCTGACTTCCTGTAAAACAGGCAGTTACCTGAGAGATCCCCTTTAGCAGTGGTCCAGGTTTCAAAACTTTCTAGTTTGGGTGACTTCCTTGGGTTCACAGGGGACACAGACATGTGGGTGAGGTCTTGCACACACAGTGTACAGCCTCAAGGGAATAGATATTGATCTGTGGTAAACAGCCCAAGATACAATGGCAGTTTCCAGCACAAATATTCACAGCTCCAGGTTTCATAGAGTAGCATCTAGGATGACTAAGACATGTTTTAAAGATAAACCATGTAAGTTCTTTATACCTTTTATGAGCTAGACTGAGTCTGGAACTCGGTTTTCTGCAGTGAGGTTCAGAATGAGCATCGATACATAATTGAAATTTCCCAGGAGCTGGGGTATAAACATCCCCCTCTGCCTTCTGTCTCCATGAAAGGCAACCGTTCAGTCAGCTCCTTGCCATTCTGTCTCCATGAAAGGCAACTGCTCAGTCAGCTCCTTGCCATTCTGGCTCATGAAGGGTGCTCTTCTGCTTAAAACGAACAGCAGCTGCTTAGGTTTTTAAGGGTTAGTTAGTGGGAATCTAACTTATTTGGGTCTTATAATCATTCTCTTTCCCAGGATGTAGCAAAAGGGGAGGTGAGCTATGGGAAAATGTTAGTATGAACTTCATACATACTGGTTAGTTCTTAGTCAACTTGAAATAACCTAGGTCATCTGGGAAGAGTGAAGCTCAGCTGAGAAAATGCCCTCATCAGATTGGCCCATGAGCAAGTCTGTGGGTGATTTTCATGACTGATGATTGAATGTGTGAGGGCCCATCCCTCCGGGAATGGTGCCACCCCTAGACATGTGGACTTGGGTTGTATGGAAAAGCAGTCTGAGCAAGCTAGGAGAAGCGAGCCAGTAAACAACGCTTCTTTGTGGCCTCCACTTCAGTTCCTGCCTCCAGGTCCTTACCTTGAGTTCTTGCCCTGACTGCCTTCAGTGATGGGGTGTGACCAAGGAATATAAGCCAAATAAATCCCACCCCAAAACAAAGTTGGCTTTGGTCAGTGTTTTATCACAGCAATAGAGAGGCAAGCTGGAACACATCTGTCTTTTGTTGTTGTTTTGTTCTCTCTCTCTCTCTCTCTCTCTCTCTCTCTCTCTCTCTCTCTCTCTCTCTCTCTCTCTGTGTGTGTGTGTGTGTGTGTTGTGACAGGGTTTCTCTGTAGTTTTGGACCCAGTCCTGGAACTAGCTCTTGTAGACCAGGCTGGTCTCGAACGCATAGAGATCCTCCTGCCTCTGCCTCTACCTCCCAAGTACTGGGATTAAAGGCGCATGCCACCACTGCCCAACACATCTTTAAAAAATACATTTAATTATTTGCTTGGGTGGGTATGTGTGCACATGTCACTGCATTGTGTAGAGGTCAGAGGACACTTACAGGAGTCTGATCTCTCATTCCAACATGTGGGTCCCAGGGATTGAACTTGGGTCCTCAGGTTTAATGGCCAGTGCCTTTACTTGTGGAGCCACCCCTGTACCTTATGATCTAGGTTACTGGGAGGTTCACAGAGAAGAAACACAAAATCAGACCAAGTCAGACTTGTGTGAGGAAAACCCCAAGGTGGGGCCATATTGACTATGGGCCTCTAAATCTTCTGATGCCCATGCTTCAGTTTCCCCACTAGCAAATGAGGAAGGCATCAATGGTTACCTTGTAATGTCAGTTTTCTCTGGCCCGGCTAGGTTCCACCGCCCTTCTCTGCCCCAAAGAAACACTCAGACGCTATATTAGTTGTAAACTGTTGGCTGGCGACTTGGGCTTCTTATTCTTAACCCATAATTACTAATCTATGTATTTCCTTGTGGTCTTATCTTATCAGAGAAAAAGTCTGGGTCTCTTACTCCTTTGGGATCTATATTGCATCCACTCAGCATCTCTGCAGAGAAGAAAAGGGGAGAGCTATTTCCTGCTTGTCCCTGCTTATATACTGATTGTGTCCTGCTATGTCACTTCCTGGATCACATTGCAACTTCTCTTTACTACATTTCCCAGAATCCACCTCGACTCCTGGTCTCACCTATCTTGCTTCCCTATTAGCCAACAGTGCTTTACTCAACAGCCAATAAGATAAACATGTGCAGAAGACTTCCCCCATCATTACCTCATAAGGGGAAAACATGGTCTATTTACCCTGGGCTTGCCTGCAGCCCTGTGGGATGCTTATTAGCTCTTGCATTGGAATACCCCAAAATAAAATCCACCAAGTCTACAAGGTGTTCTCTCTGTGTGACATCCAGCAGGTGACTACAGCCTTCTGAGCTTCAGTTTCCTGAACAATACATTAATTATGGCACTATCTGCATGCTAGATAATAATAACTCGATATAGATAATTCTCAATAAGAACTCAATACTAGGTAATAATTACTCAAAAATACTGAATGTTGTTATCAGCCTCACTTGACGGAAGTTATATAACTGTTGATAAAGAAAGGCTACAGTGAAAATATGGACCCTTACTTAAGATGCCACGGTCAATAGGAAAAGCAGGATGCCATGTTACTTCTACATCACAAGGGTAAATATGTAGAATAAACCAGAGCCACGTGCTCACCAGGAAGTACTGACAAGAAGCTTGTGTGTGCCAATGGGAGGTGGGGTGGGTGCATGCTCATAATGCCTTCCTATAGGACAAAAGTGCCTTTTGGCTCTTAAATATATATGGCTATTGTTAGTATTTAGGCATTTGTACTGGCCTGCCTTTGGAGTTCTGACAGGATACACCATCAGCTGTAGCCACTAAGTGCACCACCTGTGCCTATTCACTATCTTCCCTTTTAAAAGGGCCTTGCCCACATCCTGTCCTTCTGTTTCTCTCTTGTTCTCTCCCTCTCTCTGTCTGTCTATTCCTCTCTCTCTTTGCCCCTCTCTCTCTGCCTCTGTTTCCTCTTTCCCCACTGCTCCTGTCCCCAGAGGCTGGACTCCCCCATCCCCTTTCCCTTTTTTATGATCCTTTTCCCTTAATTAAAAAAAAATGGGATTGGTATGTAAAATAAGATTATTTTTAACTTTAAAAATTTAAGTAATAATAAAAAAGAAAAATGAAGAAAACCTCTGTTTGAACTCTGTTGCATGGTGTTTTCTCTCTTGAGCTGCTTTTTAAAAATTACAACAGTTATGATAGTAATAATGACTCTCATCACTAGTGTGTGTACATGTGCCAACAGTATAAGTGTGGAGGAATGGACAACTTTGGGGAGTTCATTTTCTTCTTACACTATGGAATCCAAGGATTGAATTCAAGTCATTAGGTTTGTGTGACAAGTGTTTTACTCACTGAAGCATGCTTGGCTCTTTTATTTTCTTTAAATATTTTAAAAAATTATCTGTATATGCATGCGTGTCTGTGTGTGCATTATGCCTGTGAATGTGGGTGCCTACAGAGGCCAGAGGCATTGGCTCATTTGGAGCTGGAGGCACAGGCAGTTGTTAGCCACCTAATGTAAGTGCTAGGAACTGAACTCAGGTCCCTGTAAGAGCAGTGTGTGCTCGTAACCACTGCTGAGCCATCTCTCCAGCTCTCACTAGCCCTAATAGCTCATTCCTGTGGGAGGGGCTCTTTAAAGTGAATTTTTTTTGAAAGGCCAAACTAACAACAGTGGTCTCTGCATTTCCTCTCCAGTTTCCCGGCGTTTAACACTGACATGGTGGGCCACCTCGCCTTTCTCCTGAAAGCAGTGAATTTTCGAGAAAGGGTTCTTCAGCGGAGTCTGGTGTCCAGACTTCACTATAAGGTAAAAATACTGTTAGATTTTTTTCCCTTTTGATGAATGTGCAAGGCATAGCTGAACTCCATACTAAATTTAGTGGGGGATGAATCTATACACTCAGAAGCTTGGGAAGTGGTCAATGCTCTACAGGTTGTCTTACAGGGCAGCCTTGCCTGCTCCTGAAGCACGATACTGCTGTTTAACCCTTTGTGTCCTGTTCTAGAGCCCTACCTGTGAGCATCATTTGGCACCATGGCTGGTGCAGAGTGTAGTGATTTTCACTGGAAATTAAAAAAAAAAACCACTCTTCAGATGTAGAACAAATACATTGTCTGGAGAAAATATGTATATTGAACATATGGAAATTTAGCGTTGTGTTCGTCTGAGGTACATTGTGTTTCCTGTTAATAAATCTATGGATTTCTGTGAAAACATAATATAAGATGTGGGGAGATGGCTCCGTTCTTAAAGTGGTTACCACAAAGCATGAGGACCTAAGTTTGTGTGTCAGCACCACCCCCACTCATGTGCACACACAAAGCTGAGTGTGATAGCACACGCCTGTAATTCCAGGTCTGGAGAGGTGGGAACAAGAGTTTCCCTGGGGTTTGCTGGACAGCCTATATAGTCAGTGAATTCCATGTTCAGCGAGAGACCCTGTCTCAAAAGTAGAGAATGGAAAGAGAAGGGATTAGTGGTAGCACCTCATGTTGATTTCTGGTCTCCACGTGCATGTGTACATGTATTCATGGGCATCTACTAACCCATACAGAACTACATACAGGTACCCACATACATATGCATATGCAAAAAATACAGACCATCATTGACAGATATCAAGAAGGGATAGCCATCGTAACAGTGCCGGTGGAGTTGGTTAGATGAAACACTCCAGCTCTGTATGCTTCATCATTTGGTCCAAAGCAATTGGTCAACAAGATCCCAGAAAGTTTCATTCATCCACTTTTGATCTTGAGTCAGTGCTCAGGGCTGAAGAACCAACCAGGATACAGAGAGCGACTCTTCTGCTCTACTGAAAGTAGGTGCTAAAAGGACCAGAACTGAGTCCCTGGAGCTCTCTTTCAATCCACCTCTTTTCATGTCAGTTACACAGTGGTGTTGCCTAGTTCAACACAAAGGAGATGGGAATGAAGAGGTGCAGTGCATATAAAGACAGGCATTGTCTCAGAAGATGCCGAAGGCAGAAGAGTACTGGAAACACATAAGCAGTTAGGACTCACACTTAGGGAACAGAGCCACACTGGGTAAGAACTTGTAGGGAGCTGGGCTCTGGGTTGAGAACAGTCAGTCTCTCTGGCAGAGATAAGAGGTGACGCTCTGCCAGACCACAGTGGCACAATCACATGGTTTACATCACTCCACACATCCGGCCTTTTCATAATGGAAACAGCTGCAGAGAGGGAAATCTATACCCCGGGCAAAGATGCAGCATGAAGAATGGGGACAATGCAACCTGCAAACCATTTTTGGACACTATAGAAGAGAAGGGTGAAGATGAAATTACAAGAGAGGAAAAAATGATCAAATTCAACTGGTGGGAAATCCCAAAATGCCAGAACAAAGGGAGCCACAGTAGTGATCGTAGACACAATGGAACAATGCTTCCATTGCATTTAAAAATGTGTTCGTGGGTGGAAAGCCTGTGTTATAGTCTGTATGTTAGTTGCTTTTCTAACTGCTATAGCAAATGGCAAAAATAGCATAAAGAAGGGTTAGTTTTGGCTTCCAGTTTGAGGGTGCTTATCCTGAGGCAGATAGTCACCTGTGTCTGTAGTGAATGCTTGGCTCTGTATTCAGCCCAGGACCCAGCTCTTGTGATCATACTGCCGGCATCCAGGGTAGACCTTCCTAGAAATACCCTCCTAGACACACATGCAGGTGTGTTTTCATGGTGATTCTGCCACTCTTAATTCTATTCCCCACATAGTATAGGTGCTAAGCGTTCAGAAATATTTTCTCTTTACAATTGTTCTCTGCCAGAGGAGGAGTAATCATTTTCATTAGTGTCTATTCTGACTTTGAGAGAAAAAAAAACTTTCACACCTGCGAGTGTGTTTTCCAAACATCAAATAAACACTAGGCAAAGGATGCGCTGAAAAAAATGGAAAGGGCTTTAGAACGCGACAGTTAACATTCTCTGCTGCCAAACTTCAGTGTCCTCTTCTGTAATTTGGAGTAATGAGGCTGAGTCCAATGCAAATGTGCTGCATGGCTAGAATATGACTGGATATGTAAAGCAGCCGTGGAGGCTCTAACTCTTGCATTTATGTTAATTACCTAAGTTTCTACCATCCAAGTAACCTGTTTATAGACAATATGATTAAATATTCATAGCACACAGACAGTTTCAAGGGCTAGTCAGGAAAAAAGACGGTGAAGATTATCAAGGAGGCTTCTTCCTTGGGGAAAGTCGACATCTAGTTTTAGCCCGAGGCAAGATTAAGACAAAACCTATAAGGTTAGTAGAAAGAATATGAACATCTCTTATTTTAGTTTGTATTTTTCACTCCTTAGTGGGCTACAGGTAGGCTTGTGTTTGCTTCATAAATTAATTGTATGTTGTAATAAAATGATTCTTATCAGCAGTTTGAACATCCAACCTAAGCAAAAGTTGGCCAATAGTCTTTGACTAGTGGTCAAAAAAGGGAAAGTTCATCTAGCATCATCCATAATTGTCCTGAACACAACTGTAATACTTGGCTCAGAGCTTTCAGATGAAAAGGCAAAACCATGAGGGCTTCAGGATCTCTGTGACTTCCTAGTTGTTTGGTAAAATTAGACTTTTTTTCCAAATACACAATCCATTATAGGCATGGTTAGCCAACCTTCTCAGTGCATTTGATAGCCACTCTGCCCTCCCACCCTGCAGTGACCAGGGGGGTCCCACAACAGAACCAGCCTTTGCAATCATTTGACAATGTGTTTCCCTGCCTGGAGTAGTCAGGTTTTCAATCAAAAGGAGTCCCAGGGAAGCCTTTGCTTTGCTGGTAGCCTTGGAGAGTACTTAGCCCCTGAGCTCCAGTGGGGGCTCATTTCTCCAGTTTTACAAACTTGTATTGCAAGAGTCATTCATAGTTTCTGCCTCGGTCCCCACTGGTGAGAGAAAATGCAAGTCATTGAGCAATGGCTTGTCACATTGTGAATACTGCATCACAAAAAGCTGCCATTCTGCGGGGAAACTCTGTAGACAAGAAGATCGGGAACTGGTATGTTTGAAAACAACGACTTTACTTATAAATGTGCATGACAAAAGCTGGATGGGTAGTGAGGTGAGAATGTAAGTAAGTGACTAGTCCAGGCCAGACTAGAGAAGGTTCGTGGTCTGCCTCCCATCACTCGCAGCCTTCTCTCACATTAGCTGTACCTCTACTTTATTGTTTGTCATTTCTTTAGTTTTTGAACATCTCATGCATATATATTTACAATATTTCTAACCATCCTTTCCTACCTCTAACTCCAACCTTTCCCCTTCCTCTTATATCCATGACTTCTACAACTGTTGTTGCATACATGTAACGATACACTTAGTGTTTAGTGCTGACTACTGGGAACCAGTTAACCTATCAGATAACATGTACTGGAGAAAACCAGTTCTCTCTCTCAGAAGCTATTGAAAGCCTGGAGCTCTTCACCCAGGGGTGGGAATCTCTCCCATTCCCGTTGTCATTAGACAGGGCTTGTTTAGGCCACAGTACATTAAGATTTCATGGGTGCATCATCCTGTCAAGTTTAGAACACCCCATCTTTTAGCAGAACTGGTCCTCTGCATCTTACAATCTTTGTGGCCTCTCTGTCACTATGTTCCCCAAAACTCAGGTGTAGAGGTTGTGTTATATGTGTACCAAGTGGGGCTGGATATCCCTGTCACTTATTCTCCCCATTTTGACCAATTGTGGATCTCTGTAATCACCTCCATTTGTGGCAAAAGAAAGCTTCTTTGGTGAAGGCTGTCTTAGTTACTTGTACTGCCATGATAAAAACACCATGACCAAGGCAATTTAGAAATGTTTTATTTGGGGCTTGTAATTGCAGAGGGTTAGAGTCCATGAGCATCATGGTGGGGAGCATGGCAGCAAGCAGGCAGGTATGGTGCTGGAGCAGTACCTGAGAGCTCACATCTTTATCTGCAAGTAGGAGGCAGAGAGATAATTGAGAATGGAATGCGCCTTTTGAAACCTCAAACTCTCTCCCAGTGACACACCTCCTCTGACAAGGCCACACCTCCTAATCCTTTCCAAACAGTTCTACCAGCTGGCAACCAAACATTCAAACATGTGAGCCTCTGGGGGTTGTTCTCATTCAAAGTACCACAAAGGACAATATCTACACTTATCTGTGGGTATAAAGGTAAGTATTTAGAATATGGTTAGGAACTTTATTGATTTAGGAAAATGGCAATACTAAGTTCTCCTCTAGCATCTATGACTCCTCCAGACACAGATAATTGGTCCCATTTACAGTATATGCCTCTACTTGAGAGGATGTAGGAATTCACTGGGGAAGATTGGTTTTAGAAAACTGGTGCAGGTTACCCTCCACCACACCACAAGACCAAGGAAAGGGAAGTAGTATGCAAGCAAGCATCAGGACTTATGGTCAAATCCAAGGCAGTAAACTAATTTGAAAACAAATATGTTAATTTTCTTTGTTTGGAGATGTAGATGAAGAATTAGTAGAGGCTGGAAACAAGATTTCTAGAAGCATAACTATGTAGCACTTTCTGTCTAGACATTTACTATTACTCCAGTTTTTATTATTGTGAATGCACAAACTGAGTGCCCCGACTGTGTAGACTAAACGTGGATCTTTAAAATGTAGCAACATAGCAGAGCTTCTGCAGACAATGGCAGACAATACCTTTGTTCATGTCTGTCAGCTGGGGCTGCGATTCTCATTTAAACTCTTGTCTGTAGAAAAGGCAAACTGCCCATGCTGGCGACTGGATGACCCATGAGATGTGTGGCACATGCCTGGGAGAGGCGCAGTTAGAGCATCTCTCAACTGAGGGTCTTCACAAACACTGGTCAGGAGGCAGCTGATGGACAGTCAGTCCAGACAGAGAATCCCCCACTGACTGTACACAATGAGGGTCCAGACAGAATGGTGATCAGCAGGCTGCTGGTTAAAATTCAAAGATTGATTTTTATTATTTTCAATCATATATGCTTTGGTGTTGGTGGGGGTGGAGACGGGCAGGAGGTTTGTACAAGTGAGTGCAGGAACCTGTGGAGGCCTGAGGATTCTCTGTAAGAGCAGCATTTGCTGGTAACTGCTGAGCCACAAACAGGCTGGAGAGATGGCTCTGTGGTTTAAAGCTCTTTCTGAGGGCCTGGGTTGCAGCCCCAGCACCCATGTCAGGTGGCTGACAACAGTCTGCAGCTGCGGCCCCTAGGAACCCAGTGTCCTCTTCTGACCTCCACAGACACTGCACCCACATGCTTCTACCTCCTGAAACATCATTAAGAGTAAAAGTATAATTAAAACAAGCAAACAAGCAAACCCCAGCATGGAACAAGCAGATACTTTCCAAAAAGTCTCTTGATACAGAAATAACAAGTACTCCAGGCCAGATCATTACAGTCAGAAATGGAAGGAGAAATCAAATGTCCTAGAACTCAGGGCAGTTTCTTTCTCCTCGTGGGCTAGTTAGGAAGACAGCCTCATGGAGGGACCTTTCTGTGTCTTTGGAACATGGTGGCAGTGTCTTCAAGGTCCACTTTGTATAAAACTGCAACTTCCTCTCAGCTGACTAGTGCCTAAAACTTCTGGAATGTGAAACAGATTCCTACTGCTCAGTGAGAGACTAGGGTTTAAATCCTGAAACTCCTGAGACAGGGAAGAGGTGACATGGCCCAGGAAAAGGTAGGTGGTGGTCTGGAGAGTTCTGGAAATAGAGAGACAGGAAGGGGCAGGCTGTGCTCACCTCCCAGCTTTCAGTGCTCCAAAGTATTTGCATAGCCCCTCCCTCTTTATTATAGCTATCATTACTATTTTCAAACCCACTTAATAAATTCTCTCTCTCTCTCTCTCTCTCTCTCTCTCTCTCTCTCACACACACACACACACACACACACACTCATAATCATTTATCCCCTTGTCCTATTCCTTAAGGAACCCCAACTAAAACATGGGTCACGAAAAATATCCCTGTTGTGTGTTCTTTTTCTCTCTATTTTCCTTCCTTCCCCACCCATAGCAACCCAGAAACTGATTACATTTTCTTTTTCTTCCTCACTTTCAACTTTCTCTGTGCATGGCTTTTCCTGGAAACATTAGCAAGTGTCTGTTCACTCCAGACAGGACACCATGATAGAACAAAGAGATGATTCCACCCAAGTCTAGCCTAGTGAATGAGTGAAATTTGGGGGTTACTTATAGCACAGTAGGTGAGGACTGACTCACTGGAAAACCTATCAGAAAAGCTTACTCTCTGTAGCAATTGTTCCAGCTTACATAACCTGTGGAGAGACCTTGTGAACTATAAGTTTTAGGAGCTTTTCCTGCACCTTGTAAGTTGTGTTTGCTTCCTGGGTCTTATGAGCCTCCATCTTTACTCCAGGAAGGAGTGTTTCTGTTTGCAGGAAATAGTCACATAATATTCTCTTTTTCTCATACACAGAGCCCGAAATTATCTTTCTGAGAAGAGACTAGAAAGATAAAGAGGAGGTCAAAATAAAGAAGAGGGAAGGGAAAGGAAATTACACTCCTGACAATCACATGGGAGGTGTGGCCATTTCTACGGGAGTACGGGAACTTGGAAGGGATCCTTGAGATCATATAATCAGGCCCATTCATTACAGGCAGTCAGTCTTGGATCAAGAGTTCATGGTTTCTCCATGTGTCAGTCACCAGTGGCAAGGATGGGACTGAGGAAAGCCCAGAGTTGGGACTTCTGAAGATAGCCGACTTCTCCTGTTAGTGGCTCTTCCTTACGAGTATTGGCTGACTTCTTGGCTAGGAAGGAGTTTCTGTTTCCCCCATACTTGCATGTACTACTTGGAAACAAAAGCTTCTCCCCAAATTATTCATTCAGTGAATTCCTATTTATATCAGAATGGATTCATATATAATTATTTTATGTTTTGAGTTATAATCTGTTGATTATTTTCTTGATCAGATTGTTCCCAGTTTTGGCCATTATGGGCTGCTTCTTTGAGGCTGGTCTCTATGTCCCTTTGATACACACCTTGCCACCTTTGTCTTCCTTCCTTCCTCCCTTCCTTCCTTCCTTCCTCCCTTATTTCCATCTCTTCCTCCCTCCCTCCTTCCTTTCTGAGCATTTTCTTACTTCCTGGTATATTTTGCTTCCTTACTGCCAACTCTGTACCATCAGTCACTTTTCCAAGGAGCCCAAGCTACTTTGTGGATAACTGTATTTAAAATCCAATGTCTTGTCTTCTGGTTCCTCTTCTTCCTAGTCAAAGCCATAGAATAAATATAAATATGAACATATATTAAGTCCTGTATATTAGAAATCACAGGTTTTTAAATGACAGCTCCAACTTCAATATAAACAACAGGAATCATTTTGATGTTACTATCTTATTTGTTGTTTCCTGCCTGTTTTCAAATTCCCAGGATATATGTTAAGAATTTAACAGAACTGCATCTGGTGGAGAATACATTTACTAACCAAAATGCAGTATTTTTCTCTGTAACATTAGCCCTATATCACAGAAGCAAAACAGTATTTCTAACATTTAATTATTCATTCTACTCTATACATGGTTCTCTATTCATATATTTAACAGACATTTTCCTATTTGTAGTCTTCTTTCAATTCCCCCTATATCCTGACTGATATAGAGTCCCTTTCTCTTTCCTGTAACATGTAGTTTTCCTCTGCCAGCTACTTTGGTTTTTCCCCACCAGCTGCTTGGGCTCTGCCACAGTTGCAGCCCCCAAATAACACACAGGAGGCTATATTAATTATGAAGTTGTTGGCCATTTGCTTGTTTCTTCCTGGTTAACCCATAATTGTTAATCTAAGTATTTCTCTTACTGGATAAAAGGGTCCAGACATCTTACTTCTCTGGCGGGCTACATTGTCTCTGCCATGTCTCTCTTTCCCAGAATCCTCCTTGACTCCTAGTCCCACCTATCTTGCTTCCCTATTGACCAACAGTGCTTTATTGACATATACACAGGACTTCCCCATCACTTTCCTTTTAAAATTATTTCTATGAAAATGTGTAAAGTTCCCTAGCCTCACTGCTCTAAAAAAAAGCTACCTTCAGGGAGTTATTGCCCCCTTTTCATCTGAATAGCCCAACTCTTTGGATTTTTTCACTGTTATGGTTTGAAGATGAACTACCTACTATGCAGTCTGAAGTGTTGAAGAGTTAACTCCTATCATACAGTTCTTGAGACGTTGTTCACAGAGTAATTCATTGATGGAACATTAGTTTGGTGGTGTTATTGATCAGGGGTTGATACTAGGCGGTAGGCCTTAGTTGGAGGAACTGGGTACCTGGGGCTGTGCACTTGAAGACTCTCTCTCTCTCTCTCTCTGTTTTTATCCCTCCCTTCCTCTTTCCCTACCTCCTTCCCCCTCTCCTTCCCAACTCCTTTCTAGTCACCATGAAGTGAGCATGCTATAAAGTTCTGTTTCATCATGACTCAGGAACACTAGACCCTTTGTTTATCTCAGGTATTGTGTCCTGATGGGGAAGAGTGTAGACACTCACCTTCCCCATCCTCACTATTCCATTTCATCTCTTCTCTTCTCCCCTTGCTCACCTTTTAATAGTATTTATATCCCACAAGTGAGTGTATTGTGTGTGCATGTCTGCTCATAATGCCTTTTTCTTCTATGAGGGGTAGCCTACTATCGTCATGTTGTTTTTCCCCTCTTAACAGCAACCCCAAATGTTGAATTAGTGCCTATCAATCCACCATTCATTCTCCTGTGCTGCAGAGTCATGTACTTTGTGGTTGTACCTCAGCTCGTAGAGCCTCCCTGGCATATTTGATTTTGTGATTACTGAAACTCCACACAGAGGGAGAGGGTGACATCAGCCATGTCTACTTCCTCATCGTCTCATTCACAGGACAGACCCTGTTCTCATGCTTTCTCTTCTTGCTGGTTTGATGGGTGGGGGGTGTTATCTCCATGTTGCATGTACATGTGAGCAGCTTTTGTCTGTGTGAGGACCACTTCAACTTTCTTGTGTTTTCTGCTCATGCCATTTTACCTCCTTCTCCATGTAATTTTGATATTTTGCCCACTGATTTTTTTCTGTGCTGAGGACTGAACCAAAATATCCTCTTTCTCTGGAAAACAAAACAAAAAATCAAAACCTCCCAAATATTTGGATACTAAGAAACCCATCAAGAAATACCATGTGAAGAAAAAAAAGCATAAAAAATAATAATTAAAAAAAGAATTGCTAAGGGAGAAAGCATGAATCAGAATGATAATGAAAATACAGCATACCAAATTCTATGGAGACAATTCTTAGAGGGAAACGTATAGATTGAAGTGAAAAAGAATGCTTGAAATAAATGATGTAAAGTGCCACCTTAAAGGAGAGAAATAGAATAACAGATAAGTAGAGATAGCAACAAAAATGAAAGAAACATAAAACACAGGTAGAAAATCAACAAACTTAAAAGTTTGTTCTTTGAAATGATTGACAAAATTGATTGACCCATAGCAACACTGATCAAGAAACAGAGGGGCAAAATGCAAACACATGCCATCAAGAATAAAGAGGGGATACGCTGACATCTTGACACACACTCCAGGCTCTGCAGTGTGGCCCAGCAGAGACGAGCTTGAGCAATGTGGTCAAAAGACTGTTAGGAGAAAATCCTGGAGAAACAACTTAAGCTAGGAGCATTTCTTTAATCACAACACTCCGGAGGCAGAGACAGGTGGGTCTCTGTGAATTCAAGGCCAGCCTTGTCTACAGATCAAGTTACAGGACATCCAGGGCTACACAGTAAGACCCTTTTAAAACAAAACAAACATAGCTGGGTGGTGATGTCGCATGTCTTTAATCCTAGCTTAATTCTAGCATTGGGGAGGCAGAGGCAGGTGGATCTCTGTGAGTTTGAGGCTAACCTGGTCTGTAGAGCTAGTTCCAGGACAGCCAAGGCTACACAGGGAAATCCTGTTTCAAAAAAACAAACAAATGCTAACAAAAAACAAAAGATCTCAAAGTATTTATTAAATGAATTTTATTTTTAAGGATATACTACTATGAATGAAAAACTCCAAGTCTGTGTCATTTTATTGCTGAATCCTGTCATTCATTTCAAGCACAGCAATGCTATTTCTGCTAGTGAGTGTTTTGACACTGTCACACAAAGACACAAAACATAAAAAGGAAAAGGTTGATCTTGGCCTACAGTTTCTGAGACCTCAGACCATGCTGATTGGCATTCTCTTCCAAGCTCTGATGAGTCAGAGCATCGTGACACAGGGTGTGGCTGCTCACCCTTAGCAGCCAGGAAGCAGAAGGAAGAGGAAGGAGAGGCTGCAGACAGCACCCCACTCCAATGGCCTGCTGCTTCCAAAGGCTCCGTTTAAAAGTTACCAGCACCTCCCCAAAATTACACCCCAAGTTCAGAATCATGCCTTCAACAGGAGGCTGGGGGGTGTGGGATCTTCACATCCCAACCACAATACCAACCTGCTTTTAAAGACAATGCAAGACTGATCAGTACTTGTGGAACAGAAAAAAATGACAAGTGAGTGTTCTTTTAAATAAAATAGGTGAAAATGTATATGTCAGCATCGTTATGACTAGCAGCAGGAATATATTTTAAACAAATCACATCATAACCAAGAAGTGTTTATTCTAGGACTATAAGATAGGTTTAATGTAAAATATTTGCCAATGATATAAACATCCGTCAGTGAAAGCTATAATACTAACATAATGAGGGAGATAATGTATATGATAATTTATTATGGAAACATTTTTTTGAGATAGGGAGTTTACTGTGTGGGTCAGGCTGGCCTAGAACTCACAGAGATTCCCCGTGGCCTCTGCCTCTCGAGTGCTGGAGTTAAAGGTGAACACTACCATGCCCAGCCATAAAAACATTTTGACAAAACTGATTAAAAAATAAAATCTTAGTAGAAATATGAAAGAATTTCCTTCAATTTGAGAAGGGCGTATCTATAGAAAATGTAAAGCTAACATCATGTTTAATGGTAGAGATATATGCAAGTTCTCCTGAAGCAGAAGCCAAGGCAAGATTGTCTAGCTTTACCACCTCTATTCGGCATTGTACTTCAGAGCCTTGTTGGTATAACAGGCAGGAGAGAGGGAGGGAGTCGGCGACAGAGAGAAGGGGGGAATTGGGAGAAGAGGGAGGGAGACAGAAAGGAAGGAGATGTAAAGGCTGTAACAGAAGAAATAACGTTGTCTTAATTCATGGGATAAAGTAAACATTTTTTTGGTAGAAGACTTAAAAGGTGGTCAGCAATGAGTCTCAGTGGGTCAGTGGGTAAAGAAGCTTGCCACACAAACCTGGAGACCTGAGTTCAATTCCCGGGACTCTGTAAAGGTGGACAGGGGCCAGGCCGTGGTGGTGCACACCTTTAATCCCAGCACTCGGGAGGCAGAGGCAGGTGGAGCTCTGTGAGTCTGAGGCCAGCCTGGTCTACAGAGCGAGTTCCAGGACAGATTGCAAAGCTACACAGAGAAACCCTGTCTCAAAAAACTAAAAAAAAAAAAAAAAAGTAGAAAACAACTTCACAAAGTTGTTCTTGGGTCACTACATGCAAGCATGGTACAGCCTGCATTTAGTTTACAACAATAAGTTAAAAAATGAAAAAAAGACCTAAAATAATGTAACAAGCATAACTATACAGAATTGAAAGAGCAGTGTGTGACAGTGAGATGCAAAATTCAATATTCAGAGCAAAGCTTGTGGGTACATGCTCACAATAAGCAACTGGAAAATAAAAGTCAATTTATAGTACACTAACAAATATGAGCTTCTTATACATATACATAACAGTAAAAATTCCAAGGCATGAAAGAACTGTGCACAGAACACTATAAAATATGCACAGAGTAATTCAAGAAACATTCTAAATAACACAGAGGCACACCACATTAGCGTTGCTATGAGATGTCCAAACTCCTCCCACAAAGTCAACTTCACGTCACTCAAAAGCTTGGAAACACTGTTTGTAAACTCACAAGCTCACTTGACAGTTTATATGGAAATGAGAATGCTGTAGATCAGCCCACAGATCTTTGAAAACAGTGCCAGCTGATTCCAAAGCCTGTGCTGAGGCTGTCCTGGTCCAGTCACTGGAATGTCGGCACGAAGTTACGCAGACCACCAGAGTGCTGCCGGTACACTTAGTCATACATATTTGTTCACTCAGTTTCTCACAAGCATGCAATAAATTCACTGATGAAGAGAGGGTTTTTTAATAGTGAGGTAAAG